AAAAGGATATGAAAGAATAGCCAGCCTGAAGCCAACTCAGATAATTGATTTTTTTTTTTTTTGGTTGTTCACATATTTCAGTGCTACATTATACAATAAAACCATGTGATTTTCTTAACAGTTTAAATTGTTGGATCTTCAGTCTGTAAATGGAAAGTCTTGTATTTTCAACTCCTGTGTTCGAATTCTTAGCTTTGGGAATACGTGGCTGGACATTTTTAAGTTTTAAAATTTCCACATATGCTTTGTGCTCCTTTTTGCTTTTGTTTGGAAGCTTATGTGGATGTCTCGCTGAATAATAGCTTCCAATCTGAAATGGGAAATCTTACCGCTCCCTGAAAATCAAAATGTGAATTTATATTAACTACATGTGCAGCAAGTTTATTATACTGAACCTCAAGTCAATTTCCCCCCCCCCCCCATTCTATTATGCAGATATACATAAAAGACTGCAGACCAACAAGTGCGCAATGTGCTTATTTTCAGGCTAATTTCTCCACGTTATCCTTTCTTGGCCGGCATCTCAATATCGTTCTGCTTTTGATATTCAAAAGCTGAGTCATTATTGTATTTAGCATCTTCAGGGCACCAGTTTCAACTGAGAGATTAATTTTGGTCCAGATCTGTAGAATACTAGATCCCTTTCCATATTGTCTGTGGCTTATTTTGATACCCCAAGTGTCTTCTGCATCCTGGTTGCAATAAACCACAGCCAGGTGGCACCAGTAGCACCATTTTTAATGGTTAAATTGGGTCAGTATTTGAAAACATTTTGAAGTACCGCTTGCTGCAAAGCTGATAAAGTTTCAGAAAAGTAATGTATCTTCAAAGTGGCCAGATTATTCATCTGGGTGTTTAATGTGAGCTGGGCGAACTTGAATTCATAGGCCTTACACCATTCCAAGGCTATTTTTCTTTTTTCGAAACTTAAGTTTAAAGCTGGGCTGGCAATCAGGTTAACTCAGTCTGGTTCCACATGCTCATGAACAGCAAAAAAAAAAAATATTATACAGTTCTTAATTATTGATCTTCTATTTTGAAAGAACTGAGCTCAAATTCGTTAATTTAGGCCTGTGCCTGTTAAGAAATTAAAAGTTGTACACACTGACTGAATAGGGTTTTTTTTTTTTTTTAAAGAGGAATGCATTTTGAAGCTGGTCACAATTTAAAGGTTCTGAATCTCCAGAGTCTCCTAAGTGTATATATGCCATCAGTGTAGCTGCTTCATTGTGTGGTGCAGTGACCTAGAAGTGGAGTTCTCGCCTCACAATCAGGAGGCTGTGAATTCAATGAGAATATATATCTGCTGAACAAAACTCCACATTGGCAATAGGAAGGGCATCCGGCCCTTAAACTGCTAGCTCCATTCAGTTGCCCAGACTCCATCCTGCAAGGAATTATGGGGTTGTTAAAAGATGGTGAGAAGTGTAACTTTCATTGCAAGGATCACAACTGAAATTAATCAGTCTGGGGCAATGGATCTTAAAAGTTAGTTTCTTAGTACCTACGTATAGGTTTAGTTGAAAACTTGTCATTGGAATTTGTTTCCAACAAAGCTGTTGTCGGGAAGCTTTTTATGAAGAAAAGTAGATGTTTGCAGCTGATTTTTGTAGCTCAGCATCACCTTATTCAACATGGCTGAATGTTTCGAAGGATTTTGTGGTCTGTTATGGTTAAATAGGTATATGCCTTAATGAAGCAGTATGTGATAGCCATACATAAAATGCCTTAGAAAAATTCCTTGAATGTGTATTCATAGGAACACATTTTGCCTAAAGAGGCTTTATTCTTTTTAAGCAAATGAATGCCTTTTGTCATCCATAAGGAGGAAATGACTATTTTTCCACACGCTACTTCAGCTTCTAGTATTAGCAGATGGCATTCGATTAGAAGCTCCCTTCCCTAAGTGAAGCCACGATTTTACTAGTTGGAGGCAAGAACTGGCTGCGTTCTTCCCTGGTTCAAGCTGCAGGAAGGAAAGTTCATCTGAACTATTTTTGAATTAAAATTGCATGCTGGGGGAGCAAAACATATCCCAAAGACGTTAGTTACTGCAAGAAAGGATAACAAAATATTTGGTCTGGGAATATGGAAGACATGTAAATAGAATAAGGCTATTGAACTGTCGATTAAATAAACTTTCTATAAAAACAAAAGGGATATTCTGTTGGGATATGTGTAGATCAGATCTGTCTAGATGTGACTCACCACGCTCACAACCCATCTGTATTTTATGGCTCATAGGCATTTTTTATAATCTGGGCAAGAAAACAAGTTTTCACGGCCCTCCTGTAAGTCATAAGCTTTAGAGTCCTTTCTCTTTGTTTTTCACTTTGATACAAAAGTGCTCTAAAACTTTGCTAGTATAATATTCAGTTTGGCATCTGTTGCCAGAAACAAAATGTATTCAAGAACTGCTAAGTTTACTTACTGCTCAATAAGAAATACTTGATGTACATGCTAAAGAAAACAGACTTTAATATTGTGAAGCTTGGTTTACAGAGCACCGCTAGTTTTACCAATAAATACGCTGAAGTTTTGTGGAGTAAGGTTACCTACCTATTCTGTTATGGGCTGTGTAATCTTGGCTTGTTTAAGACTGTACCTGTGGCAAATGTACTAATAAAGATTATTTAACAAGCACTTTTTTGTAAGGCTAAGCTTAGAAATTTAAGAAATAATGAAAATGAAGGTAGGGATTCTGTTGCTGTCTAACTATAGTGAAGCAATAACTATGAAAAGGTGGCCAGATATCCAGTGGGAGACAATCATTCTAAAATGCTTTCAAATTATCCTCTTTGAATTTTGGTGCTTGCCTGTCAAAGAAAATTCTTTATATTTCTGTAAGCAATATACTTAGCTTAGTTAAAAAAAAACCTATTTCAAGTAAAACATGTTTCCTCAGGTTTCTGCCATTTCCATGTTACATATGTTGTGATGTATAATAAAGAGGTAATTTTAGCACCTCTTACATGTATCATATTTTGATCAATTTACAGTAATTTAGCTTGTGATCCTTTTGGTAAAGTAATAGTGCATTGGAACCAATCGGAATGATCTCCCTAACTTGGTCCTTCAACTCTTCCAACTGTGCCTCTATTACCACTGAAGCCAAGTGTATCCGCCTTCTGCTGATTGTTCTGTTTTCCTTTGCCAGCAATAAGAGCCTTCTCCAGAGACTTAGGTCTTCGCATAATGTGTCCTAATTAGTATGTTATGGTCAAATATTGTTCAGTTCTATACTGAATTGTACTTTAATTTCCACCACAGGGTGTATTGCCATTCTAAACTGATTCCAACTCAGCCATGTGTTCCCAGTTTCTATGCAAGCCCCTGAGAAATGAATGAGGTGGTCAGCTTTCAATATTTCACAGTTCTTGAAGAAACATTTGTTTAAAAAAAGGCATTCCTGTATTTGTTGCAAAAACTTGACCAAGTTATTTTTTTTATAAGAACATAAAATGTAAGACAGAGAACTGTGGTGCAGAAGGTTTCTCAATCTTGCCTATCAAAACCTCATGGAGACTTGTTTGCTGGAACAGTCTTTTAGCTCTTCAGCAAAGCTGTTTTATCTTTCAATGAGGGAAGCTGGATATATAAGCACAGTATGCAAATGTTTCTCCTTTTATTTTCATATCATTTCTACAGGGTTTGGGCTTGCAAAAAGATGATCAAATATTACCAATATAGTTGGTAATTCATTATATTATCAAATTATCAAATACAGGTATTCTTTGACGTACGACCACAATTGAGCCCAAAATTTCTGTTGGTGAGCAAAACATTTGTTAAATGAATTTTGCCCCATTTTATGATTTTTCTGTCATAGTTGAGTGAATCACTGTTGTTAAATTACTAACATGGATGTTAAGTGAATCTGGTTTCCCCATTGACTTTGCTTATCATAAGATCACAAAAGATGACTCCAGGACACTGCGACCATCATTTTTATGAATCGGTTGCCAAGCATCTGAATTTTGGTCAGAAGACCATGGGGATGCTACAATAGTGGTAAGACAAATGGCCATAAATCACTTTTTTCAGTGCCATTGTAACTTTGAATGGTCACTAAATGCACTTGTAAGTCGAGGGCTACCAATTGTACCAATTCACTTATACCAATTGAATTTACATGGGTTTTTTTTTATGCAGAGAAAATACAAAATATTTTTGAGTGTTTAATGAAATGGAGCTAGCGCATCACTGAAATGGCTGCTTAACATACAATTTCTTAAGCAGCAGGACTTCCAGAGACTCCTTACCCGGCAACCTTCTGCATATTTAGAAATAAAAATTACATTATTTAATAAAGGGGAATATGTGTAGCTCAGGATTGAAACGAGGGTTCCTTGGTGCTCTCTGAGCTTGGTTGTTTTCTTGCAGCGGTTTCATTACCCAAACTAGGTAACATCATCAGTGTTACTAGCTACTAGCTCTGATGATGTTACCTAATTTGGGCAATGAAACCTCTGCAAGAAAACCAAGCTCAGAGAGCACCAAGGACCCCTCAAGAATCACTGCACCGTACTTACTTACTGAGTAATCGATTTATAACTGACAGTCTCAACCGACTCTGAAAACCTAACACGTGATTGGCGAAGGCGGGATGTGTTCGTATTTTTGTATGAGGCTGTATATAGATATATGCACGGGCACTTAATCCTCCTGTCCGGGAAAAATGCATATATTTTCATTTGATGCAACTCAAAGGCACGTCCGCAATGAGAGAGGACGAGGCAGCTTTCGACTGCCGTCCTAGTCTTTGAAATAGACGCCTCCCTGCAATCTCAGCACGGTTCACTCCCTCGTTTTGCAGGGCCCAGCTATGCAGAGCCAGTGAAGGAGAGACGCCGCCCCTCACGCCCTTCGCTTCCTTTTTCTACCCAGCCCCTTGAAAATGTTTCACAGTCCAGCAAGAGGCTGGGTGGAACTCCGCGCGCTGCGATGCGGTTTCCGGCGGGAAGAGGAGGCAAGTGCCGGACCGGAAGCGGAAGTGGGGGCGTCGAGTCGGGCTCGGCCTGTCCGGGAGGCAGGCGGGCGTGAGCGAGCGGCGGCTTCGGCCTTGGCGGGTCCCGATGGCCTCGGCTAGCATCGATATCGAGGACGCGACTCAGCACCTGCGCGATATCCTCAAGCTGGACCGGCCCGGCGGTGAGAGGCGGCGGCGGTCTCGGGCGGAGGCCCCGTGGCGGAGCTTCGGGGCGGGGTCTGAATCTTCGGCAAGAGCCGCTCGGCTTCGGGACGCGACTGGAGGGGCAGCGCGAGCGCCCGGCTTGGAATTCCTTCCTCCCGGGCAATGCCGCCCGCGCCACGCTCATGCGGCGGCGCTGTCCGGGAAGAGCGAGGGGGGAGAGAAGCAGCTTCTCCCCGATCCGGCGCCCTGCAGCAGGGAAGTCGGCTGCCCTTCCCCTCCTCGCCTTTGCCCCGTCCGGAGGGCTCCGGTTGGCGGGCAGGCGGAGGCAGAGATTTGCACTCGGGGTGGTAGCATCCCGTGCCTTTGCTTGGGCGCAGATCCTCTTGAAAGGAGCCGGGAGCCCGTCTCCTCTCCGAAGTGGTTAATGGAATAAAAAGGTTGCTCTCCCGTGCAAAACTGGTGAGGAAACAATTCCCACTAAACCCGGTGGGGTCAATTCCAAAACATCTAAGCTTTCGATTAAAAAGGGGGGGCAGGAGAACGCATTGAATTAAAAAGCATCAATATATTACTTGCTTCTTAAATCTTCCCTACCCAGCACTGTACAGCATGCAGTATTCTTCTATGTTCACATTTCTTTGGTAGATAAGATAACCTTTATTGTCATTTTTTCCCCCTGGCACACATTCAAAAAAAAAGTGTGCACATGCACAACACACATGATAGTTGTCCCCAATTCGGGTCTGAGCCTGGTGCCAAAGCCAATGATAGACGCCAGACACGAGGTGCAGGTTTTCTGATTGCTTTTTATTAGAGTATTCGAAGGAAAAGGGCTCCTGGTCAAAATGCCAAGAGCCAAGAACGAAGGATTGAGTAAGTTTTATACATTTTCACTAAAGGAGAAGGTGGGACAAAGTGAGATAATAAGAAATATTATCTAATAAACATTTTAGTAATAATTCTACATTTTATTCTATTGGTCTCTAACTGTCCCTATTCCTAGGTCTTGGCTAATGAAATCCCTAGGAGTTATCTAATATACTGCAGGGGATTCTCTGTTTGTGACTTTTAGCTGAGGTATGCAAGTTGGCTAACTGATATTACTTTTATCAGCTTTCCAATTAGCCAGGACAGTTACAAGAGTCTGCATATCTTCTGTGGATAAAGATTCTTTGTTCTTGCCAGGCAGACTTCACAATTAAAGGATTCCTGATTTACTTTGAAGTGTGTGCCATGACCTGGTTTTATTTTAGCAGATGGCCCATCATCTAGATATGCTATATACCTACATGGGTATTTACCTCTTTGCTTATAATCCATATTTTCTGCTCTATTTTCCTTAAGATCAGCTTTTTTTCAGTTTATCCAATCCTCTAAATCAGCGTATTTTAGCCTTGCCTCTTTTTAACATGTGTGAGCTTCAACCGACAGAATTCCACAGCAGTTAAAATATAGGCTAAGAAGACCCTTTTTTCACTAAATTTAGGGTTATTTGATCGTCCATCTGCCTTGTTCTTGTTCAGTGCTAACTGAATTCCAACTTGTTTAGCTGTTCACACAACATGCTTCCGACAAGGATTTCTTCACTCACCCAAATTTAAGGGTTCATGCCAAGATACTAATTCAGTGTAGAAATTTTACATACATAATTAATGCCTATTTGATTTCAATTATTGGTTTTAATATTAATCCAATAATTAGATATTTGTACTTTTTTAAAAAGCCATTTTAAAAAATGGTGTCTTTAAAAAAAAACACCATTGCTAAAACATTTCTGCATTCTATCCTGATAGTTAAAGTCCCCTCATTAAACTGTTCTGTACATTTGCACTCAAAATGTTGTGATTTCCATGCTTAGCAGCTTAGAAAATGGCTTCTGTTGTGCTATAATGCTGTGTATTTAATAACAATAATTTTATTTATTTTGACCACTGGCTTATAATGTGTGACGGGTGAAGGATGTGTGTTTGTGTTTATTTTCATGGTCCTGGTCATGATGTGCACTGAAGATGGTGTTTGATTTCGTTGTACGAGGTGCAATGACAATAAAGTAAAACTAAACTAATGTAAACCTATAAATATAAACCACAAATATATCATTTGAATAATTTACGGTGAATGCATTAGCTTATCTTTGTGTTTTCCCTCTTGTCAAACCTTACTTGCCCTTTGACATGTAGAATGATAATAAATAGCAAGTGCATCTGTCTTTATAAAAACTGCAATATGATAATACTTGGGCAATTGTTTTGATACTTGGTATTGTGTAGACATCTCTATGGTTTTATATTGTAAGATTTTTTAAAAAAATGAGTTTTAGATAAATTGCTTTAAATATAAACAAAGTGAATAGATAGCTTGATATACTTCATTTCAAAGTGTTGTAGGGATATTTGAAGCCCTTGAAAAGTTGGGGAAATTGTTAAATGGAACTTTTGCAAGTTGAAGTCTATACATGTGGAAAAAGCCTAAGTTGGGGAAAGCTATTCTAGAAAGAGTCAATAATTTGGCCATGAACAAAATGTTTGATGTAATATTGCAGATTAAAATTGAAGTGTAATATTCCACAAGCAGATTGTAGCCTGGGATATACTTTAAAAATCTATGGGTAATTTATAACAAATAAATGGTGTTTCTTTCTCCCCCCAAAATCAGCAAGAATGGAAAGACAGTTCTTTCCCCATTCCCAAAAGTAGACTTATGGAATTAAGTGCTATAGGGAGATCTAAAATCGGCCTTGCTCTGTTAGAAATGCCACTGTTTTATAAGTTGGCAATACACAGAACTTCAGTAAAAGGTTGGCTAGTTTAAAATATATACAACTCTATGACAAGACTTAAGTAAATATGAATCTTGGTTTCCCTCTCTGTTTCCCTGTTCTTCATACCTTTCAGGGTCGGTGAATGAAAACCAGAGAACATCCAGTTCATATAATGGTGACCTGAATGGTCTTCTGGTGCCAGATCCCACCGCAGCTGGAGACGGCTCGTCCTCCACTAAGCCTGTTCCACAAACTGTTCCTCTCGGAGCGCTACAAGACAAACAAGTTATGTAGGTATCCTAACTGGTGAGGCAAAAGTGAAAGGCCAAAATATGTGCAATTTGTGGTCTCTGGACTATCCAAAAGCATCCCAGCAAATGTTTTCTCCTGCAGAGATGTGATTTCCCTATGTTCTGGTATTCCTTATATTAAGGCTTGGTAAAATTGTGTGTTGCTAGTAGGGTGGTTTGAATCAGCACAGTGCCTCACCAATTGATGTTTAATGCTACATTTTCCAACCTGCTTTCCTCCAAATGAACGTCAGCTGCCGTAAAGTAGAAGTCCAGCATGTCTGAAGAGGCGCCAGACAGGTTGGGGAAAGCTGATTTAGAACAGCAGAGAAGAAACCTGTGTTGTAAAGAGCAGTCACTGTCAGTTGAGGCTTGCTGTTCCTGGTTTGTTTTGTCCTTTGGGTTATTATTATTCTTGCTGCTTCTGGTTTGTTTCCTTCTTTTGCTCATGAATGGGCAACATTTGTATTCAGTCTGGATCTATAAAATACATTGTCGGGAATTCTACAATGCAGTAGCAATGCCACCTCCTTGAGTCTGTGTATACGGTGAGCACGGTCCTGATTCTTTGAACATTTCACAGAAAAAGTTACCTTTAATATCCTGGAGACTGACCTCTTTTTCTCTTCACTGCTTGCCCCTGGCTACCTTTTTAGCTGCCTCTCTGGAGATGATAATTCCACCTGTATGGTGATCCTTGCTAAAGATGTTGAAATAGTGGCCAGCAGTGATTCCAGCATCACCAGTAAAGCCAGGGGAAGCAATAAGGTAAATACAAGAAAACAGCTTCTTATTAGGTCATAACTCTCTTCCTTCTCACCTGCTGACTGACAAGCTCATACCTATCCTGGTAGTAAAAGAGAAAAAAATATGTAAAATATGTTTAAAAAACTGACCATTGGCAAATGTAGATATTATATTGGGTACATGTTCAGACATTGTGCTTGAGAATATGGCCTTGATATATTGGCTGGTTGTGATCCAAGAGAAGTAGATTGATTGGAAGACCCTTTAGTTAATGCAGGGAAGATATACAGTTCTTTCGCTCGCTCCCTTTCCATTTTCAGTCCACACATCTCAGGCCTTTCTCCCCTCAGAAATATCTGTGAGCAAACAAGTAGGAGAACCCAAAAGAATGTTAACATCTTTTGCAATACTAAATGATGTCACTCTAAGTATGCCTTCATGTATATTTCTGCCAATCAGTCAGTCTGTTCTCACAAAGTCCCTTAAAATTGCTCAGTTCTATTACAAACTACCTTGGCAATCTGTCTGTGTGCAGTTGTAATTTCAAGAATTGCCAGCTAATTATGTCTTGTTAAGGAAAAAAAAAGGTTTGTTAATTTGTTGCCTGATAATCTCTATATGCAACGGTAGACCGTATTCTTTCCTTCTTCATATCATTCCTGATTCCTCTTTGTTGCTGAGAAACCTTTTAAAATATTCAAAAGTAATGGTTGGACAAAGGTGAACCTGCTTGTTTGCTGATTTGTTTCTTTTTCACATTGCTGTGAGATTTCCTTCTTCTACGGATTAGACAGTGGCCATCTCCTTCTCACCTTCACAGCTTTCTATCATAGAGCATCCGTAAATCGGGGTAGGCAACAATGATCCCTTCACATCCTGTGGACTTCCACGCTGGCTCAGGAATTCTGGGAGTTGAAGTCCACAGGTCATAAAGGGGCATAGTTGCCTATCGCTGCCATAGATAGTCTTCTTTATTAGGTGTGGTATTCCTTTTGATCGGTATTCAATTGATTCCTATGCTACAACTGTTGTTCGTTTTCTTTTCCTCCCGCCAGGTAAAAATCCAGCCAGTGGCCAGATACGACTGGGAGCAGAAATATTACTATGGCAACCTCATTGCTGTCTCAAATGCCTATCTGGCTTATGCTATTCGAGGTGAGACATCTCCCATTCTCCCGGGGTCCTTTCTGACGTTATAGGTTGGGCTTCTTTTGCATCTTAATTTTTGTCCAGCGGCCTGTGCTGGACCTTGTTCCATCTCCACCATAGAAAGAGGAATTAGCACTCAACTGCTCCCTTTGACTGGGTGTGTTTTGCCTTTCTTTTCCCAGGTGCCAGCAGTGGCTCGGCCATGGTGCGAGTCCTGAGTGTCAGCACGGCTGAGCGGACGCTTCTGAAAGGCTTCACTGGGGGCGTGGCAGATCTGGCTTTTGCTCACCTCAACTCCAACCAGTTGGCCTGCCTGGATGAAGCTGGCAACCTGTTTGTCTGGTGTCTGTCAATGGAGAACGGAAAAATCCAGTATCTTACTTCAATGCTAAGCATGATGGCAGAGGGTCAGAATATTGGTAGATAAACTAGTTAGTCTGTGGTACAATTTTCAAAGCCAGACTACTACACCAATTTGCGTTATTATGTTACTTAATTCTGTAAGCCAGAACTGGGCATTGAACTTTTGGATTTCAGCATGCAAAATCAGAAGTCTTGATTAAGGTAGGGTTAGAGTCTTGCATTCTAGTCTTCACGTTAAGAATTTTTTCTCAATATTAACTGTTCTGTTTGTGACTTTTACACATCTATAATCTTCACTTCATCGAAACTAGCTAACAATGAAGATAATGAATGCGTTTATCAAACTGAGAAATATAAATACTGGATGCTATAAAAGGAAAATTCAGTTTTGCTGTAATGACAATTATTGATTTTTTTTAAAAAAAGAGCTTTCCTGCCCAGTTTACAAAGCAGTGATGAAAACTTTATGCACTGATTGTTCACATAAACTTTTGTTCGTTTTAAATACAGTATTGCACGGTCCTTAGTGGCCTAATTCACAATACCTCTAAGGAATGAACTATGGTTTATAAACCACAATGACTAGGTTCACACAATGCATTAAACCAATGATTTTGTGGTTTATTAATCTGCTAGGTCAACCACAGTGTAATGTTTGTAGGGACTATTCAAAGTGGAATTAGGTTTTTACTATTGCTAAAAGATGAGGACGAGGTGTTGACAAACTCTAATTCAGTCATGTATTTATTTCCAACACATCTGAGATAGACCAGAAAACCATTAAAATTGAACTTCTGGGAGGCTTTTGTAAAGGGTATGAATCAGAGGTGGTATTCAGTAGGTCCTGGCCGGTTTCGGAGAACCAGCCAATACCACCTCTGACTGGCCCCGCCCCCATCTGTTCTCTGCCTCCCATTGAGTCCCAGCTGATCGGCTGGCTGGGTCTTCTTTGGTTGCCCTGCACAGGAGAATGGAGCTGGAAAGCAGGTTAGTATGGTGGGGAGGGAATGGGGATTTTGCAGTATCCTTCCTCTGCCACGCCCACCAAGCCATGAGCATAGAACCGGTAGTAAAAAAATGTTGAATCCCACCACTGGTATGAATGATGGAGGTCTTCCTTAACTTGGGTGATCAGAGAAGAGATCTTGGTGAATATCAAACGATCTGATGGGACTCCCCTGAACAACTTTCGGAGGATAATATGGTGTCCCTTCATCCCTGATGAGAATGAGGAGAGCTGCGAAGAAGGCAGCCAGACTCTGGCGTTGCTGCATGAAGACAGAGTAAGCATTTCTGTGGCTTCCCTTCTTTCCCTTGGAAATGGTGCTATTTTGGCCTCTCTGCGCAAAGTTGATTTTTTTTTAAAAAGCAATGTTGGGAATACAGGTAGTCCTCGGCATATGTCTAATTATGGAGCCCAAAATTTCTGTTGTTAAATGGTTAAGTATGTTTTGCCACATTTTATAACCTTTCTTGCCACCGTTGTTGAGTGAATCACTACAGTTGTTAAATTATTAATGCGGTTGTTAAGTGGATCCGGCTTCCTTATTGACTCTACTTGTCAGAAGGTCGCAAAAGGGGATCCCATGATTCCAGGACACTGCAACCGTCATAACTATTGAGTCACTTTATTTACTTATTTATTTTTATTTATTTAATTTATACTGCCGCCTATTCGCCCATGGCGACTCGAGGCGGCTCACACAATGTATAAAACATATTTAAAATAAAAAATAAAAACAACAACAACAAAAACTAACAAAAAGTTAAGCATCTGAATGTAAATCACATGACCATGGGGATAATAAGTGTGAAAAACAGTCATAAGTCACGTTTTTCAGTGCCTTTGTAACTTTGAATGGTCACTAAAGGAATGGCTGTAAGTCAAGGTCTGCCTGAGATAGGTAGCATTTATTCTCCACCATTCAGTCAGAATTGAAGAAGCTCCTTGAGTGAAGAGTGAAACGTCTTCAGGCGGAAAAAAAACCAAGAACGTCCAGTTGCCTTTTGAAAAAAAACACCTTTGGGATAACCATGACGTGGATGACTGAGAATCTCCGTAGACATCAACCTGTTGGGATGATTCCTCGTGGAGCTTTAGCATGGTCTTTGTGCTCACTTTTTCCCTTTGTGTTGGCAGGCTGAAGTCTGTGACCTTGACATAATCCGAGCCAACCATAGTTCATGGCCAGTGGAAGTAACCAACATCAAAGAAGGCTACATTGTGGTGAAGGGTCATAGCACGGTAAATATTCAGCCTTTGTCTTGGTGTAGGGGCCTATGCTAGTTTCTATAACCTGTGGTTCGATGGCAGCCGATGCACACAGCAACAGAGTCAGATAGTGGGGAAGAACAGGGACCAGCCAGGGAGTCTAGAGCGGATTTGGTCCTGCATCCGATGCAGAGTTGGGGCCTGGACCATCTGGGAGTGGGGTGCTGCCTCTGGAGCCTTTGGAGTCTGGCAGCAGCAAGGCAGAGGACTTAGGGGAGCCTGTTCCCAGTGTGCATTTGCACAGAGCTGCTAGAAGGCGAGAGCAGCTGAAACAAAAGGGGCGAATTGGAAGTAAGGCTTGGAGGTGATTGCCCCTCCCATAAGGTATAAAAGTCAGGCCAAGATGATGAAACCTTTGCAGGAAGCAAAGTAGTTCGATCGGTTCAGAGTCATCCTTGAAGTTCTTCATACTTCGGTTGGGTTTTTTTCTTGTTCATTTGATACTTCTGTTTTTGGCAGCACTTCGCAGAACTGAAAGGTGGGTGCTTATCTTGGGGGATTGTTTGAGATTAATTCCGGCTAGGAATGAAAACAATTCCCAGCATTGCAATAGAATAGGTTTTGTTTTAAAAATAAGTTTGTGCATAATTACGGTTTACAAAGCCTGGGTCAGAACATAACCCTCTGTTCTGTGTGTTTTCATTCATGAACCTCAAGTATTCCTTTTGGCCTTCATTCCAATGGCTGATTACACTAAAAGCAAGATATTCTTTTGCAGTTATTTCTGGTGTTTGCGAGTAATACGCTGGGATGTGAATGAGTTGTGATTGGGGCAAAAAGCAATGAACAGTTTAGATTAAATCTAAATTCAGGATTTTGCAGAAGTGTCTTCCATAATCCAGGATCGATGTCCTCACATTATCTGTTTCAAATCAGGATTTTTTTAGCTTTTGATCCCGACTCCTTTGGATCTACACTGTACTTCTGGATCTTGATCTCATATGATGTTTTCCACCTCCCAATTTGTGTAACTGCTTGTCTATACAACCAGCATGCCACCAGTAGGAACATTATGACTTCTTCAGCCAGGATGTCTGGTTTTTATGAACAAATAGGCCTACCAAATGTCATCAGAAGAGAGGCTATTAAAAAAATAGCCTTGGCCCATGGCCAGCCACATTAGCAGAAAGATGTCTGTTACTGTATTTCACCTGTGCTGCAAAATATAAATAACGGCTATATTTTTACCCCCTGTTCTTTTATAGCGCCTGAGTGAGGGAGCACTTTCTCCTGATGGGACTGTTTTGGCTACAGCAAGCCATGATGGCTACGTCAAATTCTGGCAGATTTACATAGAGGGACAAGATGAACCAAGGTAATTTCAGATGCAGAGAACTATCAGTAAAAGAGAACAAGTGATGACCCAGGATACAAAAACAACAAAGTCACAAAAACAGGTGAAGTCCCTTTAATTCCTTTAACTTGGCTTCAAAGCTCCAATTATCATTGACTGGAGAAAAAATTCCCCCACAAACAGTTGCGAAAAGGAAGAAAGTCCATTCAGACTCAAAATACATATAAATTATAAATAGAAAAAAACAACACAAACCACACTGAAGCAATTAATGAGACAAGGCAGGAGAAGGGCTTGAAGACGTCCACAGATATTGAAGTGCACACACTGGGAAGGATGCCAAAACTCAGATAAGAACTGACAGACTAGAATTATTTCACGCTTTGCTTCCAGCACTGGGCCATGCACAGTTTGTCCTTTTAAACAGTCCTCACAGCTGCAGCCCATGAAGGGGATCAGGGCCTCTTCCTCCCCCGTAGACCACGCCATTCACGTTTCTCCCTTATCCTCTCTTCCCTGCGTGCCCTAGCATGAAGAGGGGATGGGCCTGGGTCTTCCTCTGACTGCCCAGCCGGCTTGTGCCCTTCCCCAGTTTCCTCCACAACCTCCCGAGCCACACTCCCACTCCCTGTCAGCTGTTCCTCCTCTCCCTGGGAGTCAGACTCCCAACGGGCACGACAGAATGTTTATAGCTTAGAGTTGAAATGAGGGGTCCTTGGGGCTCTCTGAGCTTGGTTGTTTTCTTGCAGACGTTTCATTACCCAAACTAGGTAACATCATCAGTGCTAGTAAGAGCAAACTTCATTCCTTACTAGCACTGATGATGTTACTTAGTTTGGGTAATGAAACATCTGCAAGAAAACAACCAAGCTCAGAGAGCGTCAATATTTCTCCTCACAGAGAAAGATGAAAGACGTGTATCTAAAACTTTCCCTGAGTTGTAGAAACATATTTTAATCGTTAGAACTATTAAAAAGTTGATTTGTCAATCACCCTCTACATTGTCACATCACACCAAGTCAAGAAGTGGCTTGTATGGAATTCCCTTCATGTGGACCTAGCCACAGATTACACATCTTAACGGGTAAAGTGAACATCGCCATTAGATCATCTTCAGAAATGCATGTGTCAGGCTGAGCTCCATTCAAAATCCAAGAAAGAGACCATTAGATCCCCTTGTTAATAGAGAAAAGGACTTTTACTAGAAATCAAGTGGTAGCATCAAAAGAATTCAAGATCTGAGATATTAGACGTGAAAATCACATATACAGAGTATGGCAACGTTCCCACCCACAATAGTTCAAACAGTCCATCCGATCTGAGATGCGTATAATGTCATATGGGGCATCTTCAAGTGGTGATGCATACATCTGGCCGTTGACCTTGGCCTGGTTAGATAAAATGCTGCAACTATGCAGTAAGCAATTAAGCATAAGACAATAAAGTTTTCCCCAAGTTTTACAGTTTATCTCTAAAGCCTCCAGCACACTTTCCCTCTCCCACGCACAAAGCCCAATTCCCCCCCCCCCCCCCCCCCCCCCCCCCCACAAAGCCCAATTGACCCCCCCCCCCCCCCCCCCCGTTACTATGGCAGCCGGAAAGACAAGCAGAAGAAAAGATTCTCGAAGGCTGACAGCATGTCTAAAACTCACTCTGGCTTGGAATGATGTGTGAATATAACCACGGTTGGTTTCATTTCTTCAGTCGGTGCCTCCATGAATGGAAACCTCACGAGGGCAGGCCTCTTTCCTGTTTGCTCTTCTGTGACAACCATAAGAAACAAGACCCAGAGTAAGTGGTGATCCTGGTCTCTACGAAGCGGGTAAGGGACCCTTTGCCAGTGGGAAGAAAATAGTTGCCCCCACACACGTAGCTGCCTCCCTCACATTGCATTCTTAAGAAAAGTCCTGCAGTTGTGAGATTGGGCTGCAGGTAAAAGAGCAAGGACCCTCAAAAGTGAGTTGTGGCAGAGCAGTATTGTCTCTCTGCTGTAACGTGTCCTGTCAAAGCTGTGTGTTTAGGTGGATACTTGACGGAAGAGATCCCTTTCTCTTTGTAATTAGCAAAACTTCCTGGAATACCTGAGATTTCCACTTGCAGGAAAGATCTTTATCTTCCCAAGCTTTACTCCAAACCTTGCTAAAGTTACGAGCGACAATATTCATTTACTAGGGCTGGAGGAGGTTTTCTATTTTCCCTGTCGCAAGGCACATTTTCTTAACAGCGGCCTTTTTGTGGGCTGAGTCCGTTTTCTTCTCATCCATTCATTTATTCAGGGTTCCTTTTTGGAGGTTTCTCATCACTGGAGCAGATCAGAATCAAGAGCTGAAAATGTGGTGCACCGTCTCATGGACCTGCCTCCAGACTATTCAGTAAGCGTTCCTGTCGCTGACATTCCTTTATTTGTGGGGGGACGGGATGAGGAGTCAGATCTCCAAGCAAAAGAAGAGAAATAAGTCGGTTCACAAGTGTGTCATGACCACTCTTTGCCTTCCGTCAATTTCAGGTTTTCTCCAGATATATTTAGCTCTGTGAGCGTCCCTCCCAGTCTGAAGGTCTGCCTGGATCTGTCAGCCGAGTACCTAATTTTGAGTGATGTGCAAAGAAAGGTTCAAATTTTATGTTATTTATTATTAAATTTATTCGCCACTCATCTCACTGTCCTGCAGAACAGATGGCTGTGGGATACAAAGACTTCTATTCGCTGATGATCTGTTGAAACTAAATTTGTATATCAGTGGTTGCATGACCTCTGTAGATGCCATCTGAGGGAGGGAGGAAGGAAGGAAAAGGAAGGAAGGAAGGACATCTTGATTTATTCCCAAGAGTTAACGCAACTCACTGGTAAAAGGCATACTTTTTATGCTAACTTGGTTTAATTGCCTGCCTGATGTCCCAGTGGTTTACCTACTCTGGTGGCACAGTAATTAAAGGGCAGTATTGCAGGCAAACTGCCCGCAGTTTGCAGTTCTATCCTGGAAGGTTGACTCGGCCTTCCATCCTTCCGAGGTGGGTAAAAATGAGGACCCAGATTGTTGGGGGAAATAGGCTACTCTCTAAATCACTTATAGAGGGCTGTAAAGCACTGTGAAGCGGCATAGAAGTCTAGTGCTAATGCTGTTGCCCTTCCATCCATCCAACCATTCATGATGAGCAGTAGTTAGAATGCAGTATTTGCAGGTTAACTGCCGATTGCCAGCAGTTCAATCCTGACTGGCTCAAGGTTGACTCAGCCTTCCATCTTTTCGAGATTTGGTAAAATGAGATTGTTGGGGGCAAGAGGCTGACTCTGTAAACCGCTTAAAGAGAGGCCTGTAAAGGACTGTGAAGCGGTATGTAAGTCTTAAGTGCTTTTTCTATTGCTGTTGCTACCTAACTGGACTGAGGAGAACAATCAACTTTTCTCCTCCTCTGCTGGGCTTTACCTGCTTCCTGAGCCAAGGTGAGACAATGCCTCTTCTTGCAGCCTCTGATGCGACGGATTATCTTTCACAGGTCTTATACGTGATGGAGCTTGTCCAGAACCAAGAAGAGGGCAAAGCTTATTTCAGCTCCATCTCAGAGTTCCTGTTGACTCACCCAGTCCTGAGCTTCGGCATCCAAATGGTCAGCCGCTGCCGACTGAGGCACACCGAAGTCCTCTCAGCAGAAGAGGAGAGTGATGGCATCAGTGCTGGTAAGTAAGCGATGGATGCCTCTTCCCTGAGATGAAGAAGCCCAGGAGACAACATTTCTGGACACAAGAGAAGGGCAGGAACAAAACGAAGGCCTCTCTCATTCAATTGTCCACTGGCACGTTGGCCAACCAGACTCCCAAGTAGATGCTCACCTTCTCCACGGGTTCTCCAGACACTGATCTTCTTGCATCGTCTTGGTAGACCATCACTAACCTCCGTCAGTTTGGAAAAAAATCACCCTTTTTTTAGATTGTCCATTTCCAGCAGCAAAATCTTCACAGCGTGGAGCTAAATGGACTTTTTTAGTCCTAAATTCCTCGCCTGTTAACGTTCGGATCATCTTAAATGATGCTTTAGCATTTTGGTAGAGGAGAAAAGGACATCTCCGCTCCCGAGTTCCTTCAGACCGTGTGTCATTTGATTTATTTCTGTCGTGTTCCTCTGCTTCCATTGTCTTTTTTTCTTTTAAACCATGTTTTCATCATTGTGTTTGCATGAGAGAGAGAGAGAGGCAGAGAGAGAGAGAGAGAGAGAGAGAGACTCGACTGTCTTGTGCCTGTATGTATAGAACCTAAACCATCATATTTCAAACGGTAGTTAGCAGAAGATACGACTTGGCACGATATCTGAGCCCAGCCATTGTCTCATTCCCAGCTTTCCAGCTTACTAAAGGAAGTTTTTATCTTTGTAAAACAAGAGGAACTCACCACCACCACCCTAAAACTCAAGGAAAGCTCTATAACGATTACTAAGAGCTGCTGTGGCGCAGTGGTTAGCGTGCAGTACTGCAGGCTACTTCTGCTGACTGCCGGTTGCCTGCAGTTTGTCAGTTCGAATCTCACTGGCTCAAGGTTGACTCAGCCTTCCCATCCTTCCTAGGTGGGTAAAATGAGGACCCAGCCTGTTGGGGGCAAAGCAAAGGCTTGCATGGCTCTTTAAATTGAGCCCAAAAGGCTCCTAAACTGCTTCTGTTTGAATTTAATGTCTGGGAGATTTCTCTTGTTCTTTTGCGGCTTTGGCTGGCTCTAGTGGTGATAAGATGGAGCGATTCATTTCCTTCCCTCGGCTTCTTCCTTTTTTCAGAAGGCGCTCAAGGTTCAGGTACTACAGGATCGGCCGCAGGGGTGCTGATCAAACTCTTCTGTGTCCACACCAAGTAAGTTATTTTCAGTGTTTCTCTCTTCCCTCTCATTTTTTATGTCCTCCATGCTATCTGGAATGAAAGTTGAGGTACTGATGTGAGGGCATCACTAGCTTTGCACAGTGCGGATTTAAGTGGAATGAGTGCCTCCATGGAGCCAGGCGAAGTGTGTAAACTGAAGTCATTTGCCTAAATGTTTCAGGGCCCTTCAGGATGTACAGATAAGGTTCCAGCCCCTCCATAGTCCAGATATGGTCACTCCAGCCCCTCCCCATGGTTCCCGTGAAGACTTTGGTGAGTCCTTTTGTCCAGATAAAGTCTGGGCAGAGCCTGGAATGGAAGAGCTTTCTGTTGTTTCTTGCTTGCTGTTTATAAAAGATGTACAATTTTTTTTAAAAAAATCAGAAATTTAGTGACTGGAGTAAATTATCTAGATATGTGCATTTGTATTTTTTTTTTATAAATTTGGTTTGCAAGTTTGGATTTATAGTATAGTTTGGATCTATAGTATAGATTTATAGTATGACTTCCTTCTTTCCATCCTTCCTTCCTTCCTTCCATCCATCCATCCATCCATCCTTCCTTTTTCCCTCCCTCCTTCCCCCCCTCTCTCTCGCCCTTCTTTTTTCTAAAAAAAATTGTACATAATTACCAAAATAATGTTTGCACTTTTAAAAAAAGCTTTGTTTTTTAAACAAAGAGGACAATCCCAGCTATTTAAACATACAAACTAAAAAGGAAAAGGGAAAATGTACTTAATATTTTAAAATTATCAATAGAACACTAGTACTATATGTTCAGTACAAAACATTATTGCAGAATGTCACAAAATCTTTGCTGTAGTAACATATAGGTTATAGAGAGGAATTCCATCAGCTCATTTGTAGCACCAATTTAGTGCTGATAGTTAGTTGACTAGATTCTTCGGATAGGCTTGAGCAATAAATCTTCTGAAGTGGGATTGAACCTAATTCTTGGCGCCTGACACCTTTGTGTTAATCTCCCTTTTGTGTCCTGCAGCGTTCCCTGATCACCTGGCCGACATAGGCATGGAAGGGCGGGGCTCTGAGAAGGGATCCATCCACGGCTCCCAGCCGGACTTGCGACGCATTTCGGAACTGTCTGTGCCCGTCGACTTCCTCCCTCCATCGAATGACACCAAACCCAAACTTATGACTCCAGACGCGTTCATGACTCCCAGCACTTCTCTGCAGCAGGTATCTCCTTCAGAATAGAAGAGGCAGCTGGCCTTCTACTCCTTGACTGGACGTGAGACCAGTTGTCCTTGCTCTCTTCATTCGTGCAAAACACAGAAGCAAATCAGAGATTATATTCAAGTTTCAATCAATCATTTCCCAGTCGCTAACACAGGGGTGTCAAACTCAATTTCATTGAGGGCTGCATCAGGGTCGTGTTTGACATGGGGGGGCTGGTGTGGGCGTGGCCAACTCGACGTCACTCGTGTTGGGGGCGCCTGTGATGGCCCGATTGCTCTGCCAGCAAAAATGGGCTCCCGAACTCCGTTTCCGGCTGCGAAGGTCTCCTGCAGTGCTCTGCCAGTGAAAACAGAGCCGGGGAGGCTCACATGTAGCCCTCCTGAGCTCCATTTTTGCTGGCAGAGGCACTGGACCGCTCCTTCACTGTTTCCAGGGCGGCCCCACGGGCCATATCTAAGCCCGGGCCTTGAGTTGGACACCCCTACGCTAACAGTTCAAAGAAAAGTGTCAGCTTTGGAAGCCATACTGAGACCAGATGCTTCCATGGTGCCACATTTCGAGCCTGAGAAAATGGGGGGGGGGGATTTCTTGGAGTGTATGTGGTTAGACATAATAACATTCTTTTTTCTAAGTCAAGGTCATGTTGTTCTGCGCATAAGTGAGGGAAAGTCTCAAGTTGGGACGGATGGCGATTGGGGCATGTGATGGGATGATGGGTGCAGGGGGTGGATTTGTAGGCTTTAATTATTGCAAGGAAGCCCGGGACTTTCAGATTCCCCAGATGTGTCAGTTTATTATCCAATTAAAACAGAACTTTTGAGAAGACCTCTGTCTTGGAGTTATTGGTTGGACTGGAGGTTTTCTGGACCGCTGGCAAAAAGATGCTGTTGAGGCATGGAAGGGCTCTGTTGGGCAAAAGGAATGGCACTCTTATTAAGAAGCTTTTTGAAGAGTGAATTAACCGGTGCTTAAGGCAGAAAATTCTAGTTTGTTTCAAATCCTATGCATTGTCCATTTTAAATGTTCAAAGCCAGCATTCGTTCTAAGATTCTTAGTTTAGATTGGAGCTTGTGAATCCCTGGGAAGTCAAAAAAAAGGCAAACATAAAGCGCAGTAGCACTTCAGCTGACTAAACTATTTTTGTCGGCACCCAAAATCTACGCCCCCTAAGTACAATCCAAAGATCTAGTTCTGTATGATTGGTTCCCTCCCTGTTGCATCCAAATAACACTCTCTCTCATCTGTACCAGATCACGGGGTCTCCCGGAAGTAGCATTAGTTCCCTCACTGCTGTGACGACCATAAGTAGTACTTCGGTTGGCGACCCCCCCCTTCCCAGGTAAGTCTCAATCGTGGGTGGAAATACAACTATGATTTCAGTTAAGGAAGAGGATTGAGCCCAGCTCAGCAGTGGGTGGCCTTCATAGGACTCTGGGTGCATTGTATTGTGTTTCTTATTTCTTCCCTTTTTGTCACTGGGAGTTGGCCAGACTCAGTATCAAGAAAGACTTCTAGCTGTACAATTTGGAATGAACACCCTTTGAATGGTGTTGAGAGTAGGAATGGATTTCCAGAGGAGGGAAAAATTGCATCAGCAAGACTCAAGTGACCCTGAGGACACAGATAAACCTCCAAGGGCTTCAACGACCCTCCAAAAGGATGCAAATAACCAGCTGTCTGCAAGGGATATAAATCTTTCCATTCCCCACCATCCATCCATCCACCATCAGTAGAACAACGACCGATGACCCCCTTTGACCCATCCACAGTAGAAAGTGTCCTCGCATATTGCATTATGGTGTGGTATGCTGGCTTGACAGCCGTGGATAGAAAGACATTACAGAGGGTGGTGAGCACAGCACAAAACATTGTGGGCTGTTCCCTGATACCACTAGATGACCTTGCTAAGGCCCTCTGTCTTAGAAGAGTGGGGAGAATTCTCAGGGACGACTCACACCTCGGTCAGCACTTCTTCACTCTCCTACCATCGTGTTGGACAGTGATGGCTAACCTTTTTGGGCTCCTGTGCCAAAAATTGTGCTGCGCTTACATGCTCACGTGCCAGCACCCAGAAGGTAATACGCATGCCCCCTATGCATGCGCGTGCAATCCCCCCGCTCCCTGCCGTCCCCTTACCTGCACTGCACCTCACAGCTGATTTTCGGCCGGTTTGAGGCCTTTTTTGGCCTTCCAAAGGCTTGAAGGCTTCTGCAAGATTTGTAGGCTGAAAACTACCACTGTTTCATCACTTCCTGTTTTTCTGAAAATACCGGAAGTGGTGAAACGGTGCTACTTTTCGGCCTACAAAGCTTGCAGAAGCCTTCCTCAAGCCTTTGGGAGCTGAAAAAGTCCTCAAACCGGCCGAAAATCAGCTGTGAGGCGCACACATGTGCAGTGAGGTATGTTTGCCTGCCGCTCACGTGCTGGCACAAATGGTTCCGCGTGCCACCTGTGGCACATGTGCCATAGGTTCACCCTCGCGGGTATAGGAGATAGCCAGCCATACCAACAGGCTGAAGAACCGTTTCTACCCGTGGGCTGTCAGACTCCTGAATGGAAAATAACTTCACGTCAACATAGTATGACAGACTTGCGGGGCCGGCGCATTGTGCAACAAGGTCACATAGTGTAATAAGATTGGGACTGGGTTAGAGACTTCTGTCCTCACTGTGAGTTGTGTTGGCGGGGTGAGTGTACGAAAGGAGGCTCAGCCAATCTCATTGTACACATGTTGTACTCTGACAATAAAGGTAATAATAAGATCCTGTCAGAGCTGAAGAAGCTTCTTGGAGGAGAAGCGAAACGTCTTCAAAAGAAAAACTAACAAACAAGGAAGTCCAGTTGCCTCCTGAAAAAGCACCTTTATTAAGAAAGTAAAATGCACAGACAAATGTAACCGTCAGATACAGTTACTCCTTGACTTACAGCCACTCATTTAGTGACTGTTCAAAGTTGCAACGGAAAAAGTAACAGATGGCTGGTTTTCACAGTTGCGGCCATTGCAACATCCTTACAGTCAGGTGACCAAAATTTGGACACTTGGCAACTCTCATGTATTTATGACAGTCATTAAGGGGGTGTCTGGTTCACTTAATGACCATGTGAGCCATTTAAAAACTGCAGTGATTCACTTAACAGCCCTGGCAAAAAAGGGTCGTAAAAGAGGGCAAATTCACTTACCTGCCTTGTAGCAACAGAAATTTGGGGCTTCGTTGTGGTTGTAAGTTCAGGACTACCTGTATTACGTTTGGCGATGCTCGGCCTGCTATCAAATGCCAGAGTTGCCCTTTTCCTTGGGCAGAGCTGGGGGTTTCTAGGTTGCTTCTGACGGGAGGAGATGGAAGGATCTGTTGGCTCTGGTCTTCCTCTCTCTTTCTGCCTCCGCCAGGCCATCGGAGGACATGTCCCTAAGCCCAAAGATGCAGCTTGATGCCAACCTCACCCTGAGTGGCAGCGGTGGGAGTCTCCAGGCGAGCCCACGGAATCATTCGGTCCTGCTCCCTGGCCTTCCCGACAAACTGACCCCAAAGGTCCCCATTCCGGTAAGGTAGATTCTTCTGGAGACCATTGCGATTCTTCTCGACTCCCCGCTATACCAAGGGACTTCAAGCTTGGCGAGTTTAAGTTTTGGGGACTTCAACTCCCAGGATTCCTGAGCTGACATGACTGGAGGAGGAATTCTGGGAGGTGAAGTCCGCAAGCCTTAAAGCTGTCAAGTTGGAAGACCCTTGCCCTACCCCTTCCTTGCAACATCCATGCCTTTACTTGTCCAAGCTGTCTGCCCTGTTGATTTCCAATAACCCTTTCTCACTCGGGGGTGTCAGACTCAAGGCCTGGAGGCCAGATCCAGCCCAGGGGATGCTCAGAGGTTGTTCTGACCAAGGCTTATTGAGACGCTAACAAACACACCTTAGTCCCCAAACCCTTTTTTCTTTATTTCAACAACTGAATTTTAGTCATTCACAGCCCGTAATGAGTCTCCAACAGTTTGTAAATAGTCCCAATGGAAGTCTGCCAAAATCCCTCAGGATAAGTCTGATAAGCACGCACCTTTATCTTCCTTGAAATGCTGCCAATGACTAAACGACTAATTTCCAATTAGTTATACAAGGCCAAAATGGAACACAAATTCAACACCGAGCTTCAGGTTTCAAACCGACGAGTCCAAACAAAGTTGCTTCCTGCAAAGATTCCTGTCCCTTTGCTCCTCCTTTTATGTCTTATGGGAGGGCCAATCACCTCCAAGCCTTACTCCCGAGTCGCCCCTGGTATAAGGTATGCTACAAGAGGATCAACTTCTTTCGTTTTTCCTCTCAAGGTTTCCCCGGGGAACCCTCCTCCTTTGGCCCTGGAGCAAGAGGAAGTGGAGCCTCTGGTGGTACCCCAGTCCTCGCCCACTCGTGAGCGCTCCCCAGATGTCATCTCTTCCGCCTCGACTGCCATGTCCCAGGACATCCCTGAAATCGCCTCAGAGACCCTGCAGCGCAGCTTCAGCGCAGCCCCGTCTGGCCTCCCGGTAGAAATTCTGGACTCCAACCATCACACGGACAGCATGGCTTCGGCGGCCTCCGCTCTCCACTTGCTTTCCCCACGCAACCGCCACAGCTCGGAGCCCAGCCATCACTCCTTGGACATGGCCCCCAACGAGGTGGACATGCTGACCACCCCCTCACTGCTGGAGGCGGCCTTACCTCAGGAAAACGTGGCATTGGATAGTGGAGTGAGTCAGCCGTGGCCGGCTGCTCCTGACATCACCAGGGAGACCAGGAACAGCATGGCGGGCAGGTAAGGACCGTTTCCATCACTCTTCCCTGGGGCCCAGGGTGGACCATCCCTTAGTGCACGGGTCTCCAACCTGGGCGACTTTATGATTTGTGGAGCTGGCTGAGGAATTCTGGGAATTGAAGTCCCGAAGCTTTAAAGTTGTCCAAGTTGGAGACTCCTGCCTTAGTTGGTTCTTGTGGTCACTGCAAAATAAAAAAAGAGTGCGGGAATATCCAGTCGTCTTCTCTGTGGAAGAACACGGGAATCTACCTTAGAAAAATCAAAAGGATGATTAAACTTTAAGAACAGATGCTTCAGGTTCTCTTTTCCTCCTTCCCATCATCCTTCATGGTTATGCTGTGTCCTGAAAACAGGTGTCAGCTTTGGAAGCCATACTGGAATTAAATGCCAGTTTTTGGCAAAAACATCGTCAATCATAGCAACAGAATGCTGCAAACGGCAATAAACTGAATGCCGAGTGCCCAAAATACAGTCACATGACCCTGGTAGGGACGGCCATCATAACTTCAGAACCAGGTGGTAAATACCTTTTGGTTGTAACTTGGGTCCGTTGTGAATTGAGGATTAGCTGGGCTTCCTATATTATGACCTCCAGTCCAGCGCTATTTTTCCTCATCCTCCCAGCTCTTTAAACAGCCCCGTTGTCCAAGATAGGCTACTAAAGCCTGTCCCAAAGGTGCTTTTTCAGGAGGCAACTAGACTTCCTTGTTTTTTCTTTTGAAGATATTTCACTTTTGATCCAAAAAGCTTCTTCAGCTCTGACTGGATGGTGGGGAATGGAAGGATTTATATTATCCGCTATCTTGTCAGAGCTGAAGAAGCTTCTTTGGATGAGAAGCAAAACGTCTTCAAAAGAAAAAAAACAAAACAAAGAAAGTCCAGTTGCCTCCTTGAAAAAGGACCTTTGGGACAACCATGACCTGGATGACGGAGAACCTCTACAGACTTTTACTAAAGCCTGTGTTTGGGATGAGTCTGAAATAAAATTAGAATGCCGTGGAGCAGTGGTGGCTAACCTTTTTGGGTTCCTGTGCCAAAAATTGTGTATGCACTTTCATGCTCGCACTCACGTGCCAGCATCCAGAAGGCAATGTGCAACCCCCCCACGTCCCCTACGCATGCGCGTGCAACCCACCCACCCCCCGCTGCCCCCCTACCCGCCCTGCACCCCACAGCGGATTTTCAGCCGGTTTGAGGCCTTTTTCGGCCTTCCAAAGGCTTGAGGAAGGCTTCCGCAAGCTTTGCAGGCCGAAAACTAGCCCCATTTCATCACTTCCGGTTTTTCTGAAAATACCGGAAGTGACAAAACGGGGCTAGTTTTCAGCCTACAAAGCTTGCGGAAGCCTTCCTCAAACCTTTGGAAGGCCGAAAAAGGCTTCAAACCGGCCTAAAATCAGCGGTGAGGCACATGCATGCTCAGTGAGGTAAGTTTGCCTGCAGGTCGCGTGTCAGCACAAATGGCTCTGCGTGCCACAGATTCGCCATCATGGCTGTAGAGCATTTTCAGCTAGGAAGGAAAACTCCACTAGTTTCTGTGTGCTTGAGTGCTTAAACCTTTGGTGCAGAAATGGATAAGACAGAACGTATTTGGGTTTGATGCAACTCCTGTCCCCTGTTTCATTTTCCCATACAGCCCCAGGAATGAAGTGGAAGAGAAGCATAAGAGCTCCTGTCACAGGCACACCTACCGCTTGCTGCAACATGACAGCCAAGATGCCAGCGCCGAGCAGAGGTATGCGCTGCATGACGTCCTCTGTCCCTCCCTCGAAGCTTCTAGCACAGCAAGGCAAACGAATTTGGGGAAAGTGCCACCTAGTCTTAAATCCCAGAAGTAGGGAACATGGTCCTCGAAACTCAGATCGTTTTCTTCCCCCGGCATCTTAAGAAAAAGAGACTGGGCTTTGATTCTCAGGGGAATGAGCATTTTAAAGGTTCTTGCAATAAGCAAATTACTTCTGATCCGGAGAGGAAGAGTTAGCACATTAGGCGATGTTTGATCGGAATAACTCAATTCAGTTAGGAATTGAAATCCAACTTAGAAAATGGATCTGTTTCTCTTCGATGTCCCTGTCCAACCATTGGTTGGATTTGACATCTGGAAATCTTGATTTCGGAGATCGGACCAGATCAAATCTCCAAATGATACGTTCACGGGCTCCCATCCGAGACCGCCAATGAATGCAATCTGATAGCGCTTAGAGAAAGATGGACCCTTTGAAACTCAGCAGTTCAGCACTAGCCGCCTTCTTCTTGGCAGTTGCCTGTCAGAGTCAGGCTTGTCAGTGGCTCTGGGATTTGGATGGAGAAGTTCTGAATTCCTTCCTATTCAAATCAATTAAATTGTCAATATTAGGAAACCAAACACGAAATGCATTTATGACTTCTTCGATGTCGTGCTCTCTTGGTGAAGAACGGGGTGTCCTGTTAAGGAAAACTGATCCATCAGCCGCTTCTTTGGATGGCAAAAATAATAGCCTAAATTCACCATTTGATGAAGACCACCTGGTTCCACTGCTGAGCTAAAGTCGATCTGAGCCTCCTATTATGATATCCTTTGCCAAACTGCCTTCCTGTTCTCTTCTCCTCTGCAGCGACCACGATGATGAAGTTGCGAGCTTGGCTACCACTTCAGGCGGGTTCACAACCAAAGTGACTGCCCAGCGGCTGCCAGTCAAAGACTGGAAGGCCAAAGTTTCTCCTCGGGCCTCTCCAAAGCTGAAGCGGAAGGGGAAGAAAGACGACAGGTTGGTGTATTTGTTCAGCAGTTGGAAACAGCAGCGTTCCACTTGGCAACCAATCAGAGAGAAAGGCCAAGAGAGAGACATAGATAGGTGGTGGTTGATAGACAGATAGATATGGTAGGCATAGATAGATGGATGGATGGATGGATGGATAGATAGATAGATAGATAGATAGATAGATAGATAGATAGATAGATAGATAGATAGATAGATAGATAGATAGATAGATAGATAGATAGATAAATAGATAGAGACAGATAGAGACAGATAGATAGATCCAGACCAGACCGACCATTTCCATAAGCTTTTAGTCTCACATATCTGTGGAAATTCTCAGTCATCCAGGTCAGGGTTGCCCCAAAAATGCTTTTTCAAGAGGCAGGTGGACTTTTCTGTTTTTACTTTGAAGACATTTTGCTTCTCATCCAAGAACAACTTCAGCTCTGACTGGATGGTTGGGGAATGGGGAGTTTTTATACTCCTTGAAGACAGCTGGTCATTTGCCTCCTTTTAGAGGGTCATTGAGGGCGTTTGGAGGTTTCTCTCTGGCCTCAGGGTTATCTAAGTGGTGCAAATGGGTGTGGAGCCTTCTTGGAACGGCTGAAAGGACTGTGCTGTGCTTTCAGACAGATGTTTTCTGCCCTTGCACTGGCTGTTGGGGATGCGTCTCACAATTGTAAGATCGATACCCTCTTTCACCAGGGGGGTCACCATACACTGCCTTGCTTACAGAGCGCCCAGTAGCCAAAAGGTGGCATTGTCAACCAAGGAAGTCTCCTGTCGGAATTCTACTTCTCCCATGAGCTTAGAACCGTGCTGGCGAATGTATGGTACATGTACCAGAAGTGGCACACAGAGCCATTACTGCCAGCATGCGAGCCCTCGTAGAAAAGGTCTACTGCCCGCCCACCAGCTATCTGGCGCGCATGCACGGCAATGCACAGGAGACACTCACACATGCGCAAAAGCAGCAGTGCGCATTGCACGTGCATGCACAAAAGCACGCAGCGCAGGTCACGTGCACATGCGCAGGAGGCATGGGGAGGCACATTGCCTTCTGGGTGATGGCACACGAGCATGAGCAGACAAGCGCATGCGCAGTTATCGGCACGGGAGTCCAAAAAGTGAGCCACCACTCGTTTAGAACATTAAAACAGAATTTTCCCCTGTAGTTACTGATTGGAATATGACACCTTTATATCTTTTAATTTTTGTCCATTCAACTCTTATTTAAACTTCAATTTATGCTTTTACAATTGCAACATTCAATATAACACACAACTTCCAGTCGAATTCTGCTTGGTACATTCTTAAAATACACACTAAGTTCTTAAAGAGAAAGTATATATATAACAATAATAAATAAAATACTTATTCTATTTCAATTCAGTTCTATCATTAATGTTAGTTATAGTTTTTAACATCTTTAACATTTCTTTTCAGTGGGATATCATACTTCCTTAGGAACACTTATAATATTTCCATTTTTTTCATATTTCTTTCATATGAGAAAAGAAAACATGAAATTGAAACAGGACAGACAAAAGTTTAAATACAATGATAAGTAAGATATTGAAACTTAGAAAAAGATATATATAATTGAATTCAGACAGGAATGAGATAATGAAAAGCAAGGTTGAGAAAACTAAGGGAAGGGAAAAATTGTTGAGAAAATGTTAAAATAGTAATAAGATATGGAATAGAACACAAAGATGAATATGAAATTGAGTTTGTGTCTGTATGGAGAAGTGATAACCTGGGACCACGCTATTCTCAAAAAAAGATATTTTATTTGTATTATGTCGTGAAAACCTAAATAATTTTTTTACAAAAAAAAAAAGAACATTAAAGCAGGAATGACACATATTGTATACTAGGAAACCTTCAGGCGCTAGCTAGCTTCTTATCTATTTGTCTAACCATCTATCAGTCTCAAATGCAATATTCAATTCCACCGTTATACTTCAACCTATTTTAAACCATCACTCTCTTATGTGAAGAGTTGTGCTGCCATACCTCCAGGGAGGCACCAAATTGGAAGAATCTTTGTTAAGCTAGGAATTTGTCCTTGGGCTTTTTACATAGGTGCTTCCCTTTATTATTTTTATCGTCCTGGTGTTGAGAAAACAGGTCCTTGACTCGGTTACTGGGGTGAGAAATTATCAGAAGAGGGTTGTTTTCAATTGGGGGAAGAGCCATCTAAATTGAAGTTGTAATTATCCTCCCTTCCAGCGCATCATTTAACAGCTTTTCTTCGGTTGTAGGGATGCGCCACAGTCCCCAAGGTCCTTCGATCAGCAGGTTGGTGCAAACTTTCTATTTATTTTGCAGTTTCTCTTCCCCGTAAGAAGTGCCTTTCTGTTCCTTCCCGCTCCTCCAAAATTGCAGAGGTTTGGAATTGTGGGATGAAGTTAAGTTCTGCAATAATGTCCCTTGTTAATATCCCTAGATATTTTATTGATCACTCGTATCCATGATTATGCTTGTCTTAAGAATTTACAACTTAATAAAGTTACCTTAAGAGCCATGGCGGCACAGTGGTTAGAGTCCAAGACTGCAGGCTACTTCTGCTGACTCCCAGCTGCCAGCAGTTTGGAAATTTGAGTCTCACCAGTTTAAGATTGACTCGGCCTCCCATTCTTCCAAGGTCGATAAAATGAAGAGCCAGATTGTTGGGGGCAAAATGTTGTCTCTGTAAACCGCTTTAGAGAGGGCTGTAAAGCACTGTGAAGCATTATATTAATCTAAGTGCTGTTACTATTGCTTAAGAGTTGATCTGTTCCACCTGATCGCTTCTTCCTATCAAGGGAAAATAAGTCTGTTGGCATAATTGCCTCCCAATCCAGCCTACGTTAAGTCTAGCCATGCTGATGTATTTAAAAGTGGCACAATCAATGTTGAAATCTGTATCGAGGAGGCCAATTAGAACATGGACCTTCCGTGTAGTTCTTCTGATCTTCAGGCCACAGACCTTATTTGAAATAAATCATCCTCATTGAATGACCCCCATAATCTCTTGCGGGGTGGAGGCTGGGGCAACTGAATGGAACCAGAGAGTGTTTTAGTCAGGGGTGGGATTCCATTTTTTTTACTACCGGTTCTGTGGGGTGTGGCTTGGTTGGCATGGCAGGGGAAGGATCCTGCAAAATCTCCAGTCAGAAGTGAGGTTTGCCAGTTCTCCAAACTACTCCAAATTTTCGCTACCAGTTCGGGTCAGAACCTGCCGAATACCCACCTCTGGTTTTAGTGGCCGGATGCCCTTCGTATCGCCAGTGTGGAGTTTTGTTTAACAGATGTATTCTCAGTGTGCCCAGAGAGGGAAATACCTGCCTCTACCTAGGATCGAACTTCAAAGCCTCCTGATTGTGAGGGAGGAGCTCCGCCCTCTAGGCCACCACACCACTCCACCTTAATTGAAATAAACGCTTCTTCCCAAATGTTTCTTCCTTTGCGTCATTTATGAATAATTTTTGGGCCTTTCTCCCAAACGACTGTCCACCATGGGTGAGCCCAATTCATTCCCTACGAGAGGGACAAAGTCAGTTGGGTTTCCTCCGAACAAAACAGCAAGATTCCACTGAAAATCACCTCAGGCTGATGTTTTGTCATCTTTTCTCTTCCCCGCACCCCCACCCCGCTTCTAGAGCGCTCCTGAATACCAGGAGGAGCTGATGTCTCTGCTCAGGACGCAGCAAAGGGAGATCGCCGAACTGAGACAAAATCAGACGGAGCTGATGCAAAGGCTCGCCGATCACCTGGATGCCGTCCAGAGCTCGCTCATGGGTCACATCGAGCGGGTGATCGACTCCCAGCAGGAGCAGGAGCGTATCCTCTCAGAGCGGGTCCCATTCCGCACCGTGGGTTTGGGGATCACACTAGTGGCCTTGCGTTCTTGTGGAGTTTCATGTTTCTATCACACACACACGCACACACACACACACACACACACACGTACTTGGCTGGAAGGAAGGGGAGGATGTCCTGTTTGCTTGACATAGTTAGCGGTTGTTTTTTTTTCTACTTGCTGTATTTATACCTCAGAACCAGATACTAAAGGGATTACAGGGGTCGTAAAAAGAAAAGTGCATTCTCTTAAGCAGCTTGACAAATTTGAGAAAGCAGAAAAGGTTAAAACGTCTGTCTGAAATTAATTTCACTGCACCTATTTTTTTAAATTCTATTAATATTTTATAATATAATATAATGTAATATAATATAATTAATGTAATATAATGTAATATAATAATATAATACAATACAATACAATACAATATAATATAATATAATATAATATGAAAAAGAGAAACAATATGAAGAATGTCCTCTTTAGCTAAGTCCGGTTAACAAGGAAGTTTGTATCATTTCTTTTTAGGAAGTTGTCTTCTGTCACATCCAACAACTAACTGGTCCCTCAACCAGTTCTTTATTCTGAGCAATATCATCTCAGGTTTCAGGGGTTTTTTTCCCCCCCACTATCTGCTGCTCAGGCTTTTTAACTTGGCAATATCAGTGGTTTGTAGTCAGTGTGTGAGTTAAAGTCACAGCCAAAGTTTGCCAGCGAAGAAATGCTATCTTCAAGGCCGAGGAACAAAAGATGAAAAGTCAATAAAAATGTGAGAGGATGAGGAGAAAGAATTTGTTATTGTTATTTTTCATCCCGTAACGAAGCTCTCCTAGTTCTCACTGCAAAGCTATCAGCACATATTTCAGCAAGAGGTTTTGTTTGTCAGCCTGTTCCTTGCAGTTATTTATTTAAAGCTGAGAGGGAGCGACTGGGCCAACATTTCCCAGCTGGGCCTAAAAGAATTCCAGAATTTGGGCCCTCAATTCCTAGTTCAGCACTTTAACTACTGTATCAGGGTGGCTCTGAAAAGAAAGAAGAGTCAGAATAGGGAGTTGCACCTTCACAGGCAAACAACTGCTTAGTGGTTTCTTCCTAGTATATTGTAAAAAAAATATTAGCTAGCCATATCAGTCTTGTCAAGCCATTTTTTTCCCTGCAATTTTCTTGACAAGGTTTTTCAAAAGGGGCTTGCCACTGCCTGCTTCCTAGGGCTGAGAGAAAATGGCTGGCTCAGGATCACCCGGGTGGCATTATGCCTAAGAGGGGGGGACTAGAACTTACCACATCCTGGCTTCCAGCCTGATGTCTTGATTGTTATATCAAACTGGCTCTCAAGTCAAACCTTACTAAGTTGTGTATCTGGAGTCTTGCCATTGAGTCCGACCTGAGTCGTGGTGCAACTGTGGTTAGAATGTAGTATTGCAGGCTAATTTGATCCAGCTCGATGCTAACCGGATCAAGGTTGACTTGGTCTTCCATCCTTCCAAGATGGGTAGAAGGAGGACCCAGATTGTTGTGGGGGGGGGGGCATATGCTAACATTGTAAACCGCTTAGAGAGGGCTGCAAAGCATTAAGAAGCAGTATATAAGTCTTTAAGTGCTATTACTGTTGCAGTCTTTTGGGATCTCTAGTCCGTGCACCCTTTCTGTGTTCCTTAGCTCTTTGTTTCAGAGCGGAGGCTGGAACAGGCTCTGGCGGAAGGGCAGCAGCGCAGTGGGCAGCTGCAGGAGCACCTCTCCCAGCAGCTCTCCCAGTCCCTCTCTACGGCTGCCTGCAATCGGCTGGAGAGGACCATCCGCGAGGAGATGAAAAAGGCCGTCCCCCTGTGTAAGTTTTCCCCAGCGGGTGGTGAATTGCTTGCAAAGAGTCCTGTGTGGAGAACCTGTTGAAATGGAAGACCGGTCACCCTTAGGCTATTTTCTCTCAAGGCTCTGGATTCTGAGTTGGAAATTCCCCCCCCACCCACACACACAAAAGATGGAGCCTAGTTCAAGGGCATGAGTTCGATTCCAAGGACTTGCCATGAGAAGCGTATGCGATTCTCCTTGATAGCACCCTTTCTTTCTTTCTTTCTTTCTTTCTTTCTTTCTTTCTTTCTTTCTTTCTTTCTTTCTTTCTTTCTTTCTTTCCTTCCTTCCTTCCTTCCTTCCTTCCTTCCTTCCTTTTCTCTCTCCCTCTCTCCCTCTTTCTCTCTCTCTTTCCTATCTGTCTATCTATCTATCTATCTATCTATCTATCTATCTATCTATCTATCTATCTATC